GGCCAGTCCCCAGGAGAGTAACTGTGACCCCTGCTGCCTGTTTTAGGATAAAGGAGGAGTGGAACTTTGTGGCCGAATGCAGGAGGAAGGGCATCCCCCAGGCTGTGTACTGCAAGAATGGCTTCATAGACACTAGCGTGCGGCTTCTGGACAAGATTGAAAGGAATGCTCTCACAAGGCAGAGTTCACTTCCCAAGGACAGAGGCAAACGGAGCAGTGCGTTTGTGTTCGAACTTTCTGGGGAGCACTGGACGGTGAGTCGAGGCAGTTCTCACCCAATGCGGTGCTGTGGTCGATGACTGCTGCTTGCCTGAGCCCAAGGATGAATGAATGAATGCTTTTGCCTTTAGAGGCGGTTCTTCTGTCCCTTCCTCAGGGAAACGCAGCGCAGTCCTGGAAGCAGTGATGGGACCCACTTGGATACCTCTGTGGCTGAGCAGCTGGGATGCCTGTGCCCGCTCCTGGACAGCACAATCTTTCAGGATGCATTCCTCTGCTGTCCCCTGCCCCAGTCTCTTAACATAATTCTTTGCCATTAGAAAACATTAATTTAAGTGACAGCGCCTTTCATTCATCTAACACCCTGGCAGTGGGCAATTACTTACTTGCCAAAGTGCCGTAGGGCAGCAAAGGAATTCTGCAGATCCTTTTTCTGGTTTTCCTGTCCTGAGATTCTGAGGCCAGGGCAAAGACAATTCCATTTTTCTTTCCTCAGGCCCCATAATAACTTGGGCTATTGCCCATTTCATTGGGACAGGGTTCCCTAGGACCCTCCCTCCATCTCTTTCTATCCTGCCATTTTGTGTCTTTTTTTTTTTTTTGTTCAAGAGTCTTGCTCTGTCACCCAGGCTGGAGTACAGTGGCGAGATCTCAGTTTCCCGAGTCGCTGGGACTACAGGTGCGCACCACCACGCCTGGCTAACTTTTGTATTTTTAGTAGAGACGGGATTTCACCATGTTGGCCAGGCTGGTCTCGAACTCCTGACCTTAGGTGATCTGCCTGCCTCGGCCTCCCAAAGTGCTGGGATTACAGGCTTGAGCCACCGCGCCCGGCCCATATTCATCACTTTAAAAGTGATTCCAACCCAGGTTTGTTCTGCCTGTGCACAGTAAGCCAATAACTGGGACAACAGGTTTTGCAAGAGAAAAGATTTTCCTCACAAGTCTGCTAAGCAAGGAGACAGGAGAACAAATCTCAAATCCATCTCCCTAAAAGTAGGGCTTGGGGATATTCATGGGATAGAAAGCGGGGTAGTCTAAAGTATGGTGAAATGTGATTGGTGGGTAGAAAAGGTGAGGTAATCAGGGTTTACAGAAGCATAATCAGGCCACGTGACTCTTCACAGGATATGTGTTCAGAGAATGGCAGTGTTAGCATGATCTGAGGTTGGAGTTTTTGGCCCTCTGATGTCAAAGGTCAATCTTTTGGCACCCCTGCAAGCCTTGCAAGCTGAGTCGAGGGGTCAGTGGTTTGGACTGGACAGGGGCTGCCCCTGAAAAACAACTTGAGTAACCATTGCCATGGTGATCCATGCCTCAGAGATGTTATCTGTAAGGAAGCTAGTGAGAGTTTAGCATATTGTTTGGCTACGTGACTTTTAGCTATATAGTTTAGGATCTACCAGAAGTAAGTGATTAGATGCAAACAAGGCAGGTTAAGTCTGGCGGGCTTAAATCAGGTGAGCCCTTGGTTTCCAAAGTTTCTTCTTCACTCTTTGTAATTCTTTCCTGTCATCCCCCAGCCCCATTCCCCAACTCCACCTCCAAGCAATCACTACTTTCTATCACTATATTCTGCATTTATTGGAGTTTCATATGTATATTTGTTTTTGAGAAGGGATTTCACTCTGTCACCCTGACTGGAGTGCAGTGATGTGATCTTGGCTTACTGTAGCCTCAACCTCCCTGGCTCAAGTTATCCTCCCACCACAGCCTCCCAAGTAACTGGGACTGCTGGTTATGGAAGATCCATGCCACTATGCTTGGCTAATTAAACATTTTTTTTTTTTTCTAGAGATGGAGTCTCACTATGTTGCTCAGGCTGGTCTTGAATTCCTGGGCTCAAGCTGTCCTCCTTCCTTAGCCTCCCAGAGTTGCTGGGATTATAGGCATAAGCCACAATGCCCAGCCATATATTCTTCTTTTTCTGGTTTCTTTCATGTTTAGATTCACTCATGTGGCATGTATCTGTGGTTCATTTCTCTATTGCTGAGTAGTAAGAAACTACATTTTTTCATTCATTCACCTGTGAATGTGCATTTGGGTTGTTTTCAGTTTGGAGCTATAAAACTGATGTGAACACATACATTGGTCTTTGTATGGACATGTGCTTTCTTTTCTCTTGTGTGAGTACCTAGGAGTGGAATGTGTGGATCATCCAGTAACAGTACCTTTATAAAAGCCATTGGAACATAGAGGGTTGATGACTGGGAGGGTCCAGCTGTGTCCAAACCGCCCTCCCCTCATGGCTACCCTTTCCGCCACATACAGCACACCCAAGGAATGAGTCTGCTCCTCTCCCCTAATTACTGACGTTTAACCACCAGGCCCTAGCCCTGCTGCTAATCTTTTTTTTTTTTTTGAGATGGAGTCTCGCTTTGTCACCCAGGCTGGAGTGCAGTGGCGCGATCTCGGCTCACTGCAAGCTCTGCCTCCCCGGTTCACGCCATTCTCCTGCCTCAGCCTCCGAGTAGCTGGGACTACAGGCGCCGCCACCACGCCCGGCTAATTTTTTGTATTTTTAGTAGAGACAGGGTTTCACCGTGTTAGCCAGGATGGTCTCGATCTCCTGACCTCGTGATCCACCCGCCTCGGCCTCCCAAAGTGCTGGGATTACAGGCGTGAGCCACTGCGCCCGGCAATCTTTTGTGACCCTCCTAACTTGATTGGGTGAAAGACTCAGTGGATGAAGCACTGATGAGAATCTTTACAGGCAGCTGACTTCCTTTCTAAGGGTCCTCCCAGCTCTGATTCAGGGCTATCTTTGGGAGCTTCTAGCTCTGTGCCTTCTGCTTGCCTTCTTGGTGGCTTTGATCCTCTCGTTTCCCTCCTCACGCATTCTACTCTTGGTATTTGCACATCACATTTAGTCAAGAGTGGGAAATTGTGATCATATGAAGCAAAGAACTAATGCTGAGTGCCCAGTGGGTGAAACTAAAATCAGACAGTATTGAAAGCAAATGGAACTACGTAGATGAAAGGTGGACACAACTTAATGAGCCCTGAAAATCCCAAGACAAGAAGGGCCCAGGGAAAGAGGTTGGGCTGTCTCTCCCCACGTCTCAGTGTCCCTGCTGACCTTCTGACCCTAACTGGTATTAAAGGATAATTTGCAAAAAAGGTGAAACCATGATTCTGTAGCAGATATAAAAGGAACATCCATTAAACACTTTATTTTTCTCATTATTTATAAGAGGGCAACTGTAAAATGTTACAACAAGCTCAAAGGAGAATCCAAAGGACAGACATTGAGAGACTAGGAATATTGAATACATTTGAAAATGAAGCAGCTGGGCACAGTGGCTCACACCTGTAATCCCAGCACTTTGGGAGGCCGAGGTGGGCGGATCACCTGAGGTCAGGAGTTCGAGACAAGCCTGGCCAACAGTGAGAAACCCTGTCTCTACTAAAAATGCAAAAATTAGCTGGGTGTGGTGGCAGGCGCCTGTAATCCCAGCTACCTGGGAGGCTGAGGCAGGAGAATCGCTTGAACCCGGGAGGCGGAGGTTGTAGTGAGCTGAGACTGCACCATTGCACTCCAGCCTGGGTGACAGAGCAAAACTCTGTCTCAAAATAAACAAAAAAAAAAGGGGAGCAAATTGGTGTTTTTGGGGGTGGGAGAGGGTTGTCCCTCCACTGGGTAAAATTTATGTGTGTTTATGGATAAGAATTATTTGTATGGCTTTTCATTTTCTACAAGTTAACTTTACTTTCTACAGAGTTATAAAATAGCTTATTCAAAGTCAAAGGTACATTCCTATAGAATCGGAGAATCCCCTGGAGGCTCCAGTATTCCAGGAAAAGGCTATCCAGCTGTGTTTTGCTTCTTTCAAAGTCTGAAATTTCTCCTTACACTTGACAGTACCTGGTGGTCCAGACCGGGACTTCCCGCATGCCCAGTCCTGGAAGATGGTCTTGTCCCAGAGGCAGTAAACCTTCAGACCCCTCCTAACCACTCCAATGGCAGGCTTGCCTGTGCCCCACAGTGCCACCCTACAGCCTGACTGAGACTCTGAACCACCCTTCCTTCAGATAACAGCAGAGAGTTTCCACACTACGATTGTTCCCTGACCATGGGGCTTATCTCACACTTATATAGTGTATATACTGCCTTGGGCCATGTGGAGACCAAGTCTGCATCTGCAGCTTGTTTCTAAAGTAGCGCCCAGAAGACCTGAATCCTGACTGCCACCAGGTTCCCAGTTGGGCTGAGTAGGGTCTGGAACGCTTTTCTGAGTGTGGAATGCATCTAAGCCCCTATCAAATGTGGGCTACCTTATTTTGAGTCAGACAACATCTGTGTTTGATGGTTTTGAAGGAAAACCACAAAACATCTGTTTTGCATCACATAGAATATGTTAAAGGCCTCAAACAGAAAACAAATTCCTAAATGAAGAAAGGCTCACCAGGTGCAGAGCCCTGTTCTGACAGTTGTGTGGGCATCTGAAGGGCCGTGAGACATGCCAGCTGTCATCATGGAGCTTAGCATCCAGCTGGGGGATAAGTTATGGATGTGGAAAGCTCTAAAAGATAGGTCAGAAAGTTAGCGACACATGGGTGGTGAGGTTTGGTGTGGATGCTGAGTCCTCAGCCAGCTGCAGTGTCTGAGTGGACCTCAGGTCCATCTACCGGCGTGAAATTCCCCAAGGTGACTGATAGTGACATTCCAAAGTCAGGTGTTTTATACACTGGAGTTCCTCTGCATTTCTATTCAAATACCCTTGAAAGATAGGTGAATCCCTGTGGCCCTGCACTTTTTTAAAACTGAGGTTGGCGTGATATAATTTCAAAGGAAATGATAATTAAACGCATAGCCAGAAATTCCATCTAACCCATCTTCTCTACTTTTTAAGTTAAAGTTACTAATAATTCCCAAAAGGGTTTAGGGTTTCCCCTGCACCCCCACAGCAGGGAGGAAAGAGGAAGGGAGTGCTTACATAGGCCTGTGAATGATAAGGAGAGCACCCATGCCCAGGTGGCTGACTCACTTCTCTAGGCAGTGATGGCCAGTCCCCAGGAGAGTAACTGTGACCCC